TGCACACACTCGCTGCTGTGGATGGCTTTAAGGTAACTGATGGCTCTCCCGTGCTGGATGGTCTGCTGGAGTCTGCTTCAGCCTCCATCCAAGCACGGTCTGGTACCTACTGAAGGCCTGGCATCCCTCGCCAGGCGCCAGGGCTGCTGCGGCGCCGGAGCTGTGTGCCCTGGGCGAAGGGCAAGGCCTGGCTTGCTGCGTGGGAACTGCCTGGGGGCAGCCCATCCCTTGGCTGGGCACCTTCCCCACCAGGGCAGGCTCCTGCTGCCTCTCCTCTCGCCCTGCCCTTGCTGTGTCTCACTCCCTGTGAGGTGGCTGGGGAGCCAGAGGGCTCTGGGGAGCTCCTTGCACCCCATGGGGTGGGTAGCAGAGGGGATGGGAGCTGCGTTGGAGGCCAGGTTGGAGGGGGCTTGGAGCAACCTGGTGTGGTGGGAGGTGTCCCTGCCCAGGGCAGGGGGTGGCACTGGATGGTCTTTAAGTTCTCTTCCAACCCGAACCATTCTGTGATTCTATGGGACAGACACGGGTTCTCAACAGCTTTTCATACCAAGAACTGAAAAGATTAAAGCTCTTCCATTCAGACACCCAGAAGAAACTCCGCAAACACAGGATGGCCCTCTGCAGCTGTGACCAATACTTCAACACTGGTTCTGTGCAAAGTGCTGAGCGGTGGGTCCTGCGCAGTGTGAGACGCCTGAGGTGAAGGCACGAGGGCAGCCCCCACCCTGTTCCTGCCACGGGAGCTTAAGGAGGGCTTATGCCCAGCCTCTTTCTCCAGCCCTTCGTGAAGATTTACTTCTGGGCAAATCCCTCTTCCAAAAACTCACTGACAAACGCCTCAGACCTAAGGCACACATATTAAGGAGCTTGGAAACTGCTGTGAGAGCTCGGCAGAGCCACAGAGCAATGCTAAATGTTAAATATTGTGGTTGTCTACAGGAACACTCACCCACAGGCAGCAGCACTCTTTGCCAAACAGGGTCGAGCATAAGTAACCCCATCTTACACAAGGAGAAGGTGAGTCACAGAGATTAAAGGCTGCCACCATTAAAATAAAAAAAAAACCTGCAAATACCGTAGGCACCTTAAGCAAGATTTTGGCAGAATTTGGGCACCTCGGTTAAAAGCTGCAATCTGGGAGCTCCATGCTCCCGTTCAGGTGCTGCCTAGCTCTGGAGGTGCCTGAACTTGCCCAGTGCCTCCTGGTTCGGCTCCCAGCCTCCGTAGGCAGCTGTTAACCTGCTCCCAAGCGTATCCAGAGCTGCTCCAGTGCCAATGACTCCACTCCAGCTCACACCTGAGTGCTGCCAGGGTCTGGCCTTCCTCCCGTGTGGGGCTGGCACTGCTGTCCCCAAACCCAGCAGGGACCAGCCTGGGAGCTGCAGCGGGAGCACACTGCGACACAGCCTGGGGGTGAAACACCGTGATAAGCACTGCCACCCCCAGAGAAATCACAGAATCACAGAATGGTTTGGGTTGGAAGGGACCTTGAAGATCATCTAGTTCCAACTCCCTGCCAGGATGAGGGACACCTCCCAGCAGACCAGGTTGTTCCAAGCCCCCTCCAACCTGCCCTTGAACCCCTCCAGGGATGGGGCAGCCACAGCTTCTCGGGACAACCTGGGCCAGGCTCTCACCACCTTCACACCAAACAAGTTCTTCCCCACATCTCAGCCCCACCATCTCCCCTCTTTCAGGGTCAAACCCTTCCCCCTCCTCCTAGGGCTCCCCTCCCTGATCCAGAGTCCCTCCCCATCTCTCCTGGAGCCCCTTGAGGGACTGGAAGGGGCTCTGAGGTCTCCCCGGAGCCTTCTCTTCTCCAGGCTGAACCCCCCAACTCTCTCAGCCCCCCCCCCCAGCAGAGGGGCTCCAGCCCTCCCAGCATCTCTGCGGCCTCCTCTGGCCCCGCTCCAACAGCTCCATGTCCTTCTGCTGGTGGTGGCCCCAGAGCTGGAGGCAGCACTGGGGGGGGGTCTCCCCAGAGCGGAGCAGAGGGGCAGAATCCCCCCCTGGCCCTGCTGGCCACGCTGCTGGGGATGCAGCCCAGGATGGGGTGGGCTTTCTGGGCTGCCAGGGCACGTTGCTGGCTCATGTTGAGCTTCTTGTCCACCAACACCATGGAGGTGATGAGTGTCACTGTCCAATCCTACACTCCTGACTGCCCACAGTGGGGGTTCTCTTGGACCTGTGGCAGCTCTCCTCTAGCCCCAGCTCCCAGTTTCGGTCCTAAAGTGGTTCATTTTGTTTGCCGGAGATTTCCTCTGGTACTCGTGGTGGTACTTCTCCAGACTCACGCAAAACAAACCAGCCTCCCCAAATTCTCCTCCTCCCAGGCAGGGCTCAATGCCCACAGGGATATCCAGCACCACTGAGAGGCTGCTCAAAACCTTCCAGGACTGAGCTCCATGCCATGAAAATGGGGAGCCACCTTCTTGGGCTGATGTAAAACTGGTGTAGCTCCGTTGATGTCGATCCAGCTTGTACAAGCCGAAGACGGCTTAGAGTAAATGAATCATTCTGCTGAAACATAGTGAGCTGAAACATACCTGTCCCATGGGGATGCTGAGCAGTGAAAGCTGCTCCCACCCTTTTTAAGACAGGTTAGTGCCAGGCAGGGGGAAGAAGTTACCCTCGATGCAGCTCCATCCCCTTAAAGCCTCTTCCCTCTCTGTCGTTGGTGGCTTTGCAAAATGTTTCTGGAGGGCAAAGCTGGCCTTGCCTTTTGTTTTCTTGCAGGAAAGGCCAGGAAAAGAAGAATTACTCCGTCTCGCAGCTGCAAGCGTGGGGCGTGAAGGTTAAAGGCCAGATCTGAAACAGATTTAGGCCCGTGCAAAAGGAGATGCCCCAAGACAGGTCTCCTCATGAGGACCAGGGCTGGCGTGGCTGAGTAGCTCTCCCAGAGGGATTTGCTGTGCCACAGGAAGATGCTGGAGCTGAGGTAACATTTTTCCTATTCCTCTAGATTTAAGGGTTTGTGACATCTGGTCACATCCATCTTATGTCTTTTTCCTTTTTTTTCTTTTTTGAAATTCCCTCTTTTCTCAGGGGAAGCCCAACTTGCAGGTTCCAGGAGGCTTTTCTGGCGGATAAGGGGTAGGGCTGCAGGACCGCGGGCTCCGAACTCCCCACCGAAAGGGAGAAGGAGGTGGAGCAGGAGGGATTAAACAGCAGGAACCTGGGCTTTCCCCGGGGTTGTCCACCTGTGCCATCAACAGGGTTTTCCCGACGTGAAATGCATCAACAGCCGTGCCAGCTGCCGGGGCAGGAGCGAGCCGTTGCCAGCGCTACAAAGCTGTGCCCTGGAAAGAGCTGCCGTGATCTGAAAGTGGAGTTTATTAACTCCAGATTTTTCCAGCCCAGCTGGCACGCCAACAATACGGTCCCCAACACAAAGAACCGCTGGCAGATATAAATCAGGGGAAGGCATCTGCAAAGGCTTCTGCAAGACAAAGGCACCCACAGCCACCCTGCCCAGTGCCAGCTGCGGAACGGCAGTGGCCCCACAGCTGGGTCATGGGCACCCAGCTCGGGGAGGGGGCATTGCTGATGGCCTGGTTAGCAAAACCACTAAGAATGGCAACCGATTTGCTGGCCATGGAGCACAGGGGCCTTAAAAAGTGGGCTTGTCCTTACTTAGGTAAGTGGTTGTAGGTACTTAGGTAAGTAGTAGGTGAGAGTGTTGATCTGCTTGAGTGTTGGAAGGCTCTAGAGAGGGACCTGGACAAGTTGGAGGTTGGCCAAGGCCAATGGGATGAGGTTCAATAAGGCCAAGTGCTGGGTCCTGCATTTGGGTCACAACAACCCCAGGCAGCTCTACAGGTTCAGGGAAGAGTGGCTGGAGCTGCCCAGCAGAAAAGGCCCTGGGGGTGTTGGTGGACAGCCGGCTGAACATGAGCCAGCAGTGTGCCCAGGTGGCCAAGAAGGCCACCAGCATCCTGGGCTGTGTCAGGACCAGCGTGGCCAGCAGGAGCAGGGCAGTGATGGTGCCTCTGGACTGGGCACTGGTGAGGCCTCACCTCAAGGGCTGGGTTCAGTTCTGGGCCCCTCACTCCAAGAAGGACATTGAGGGGATGGAGCGTGTCCAGAGGAGAGCCACCAAGCTGGGGAGGGGTCTGGAGAACAAATCACACAAAGAGAGGCTGAGGGACCTGGGCATGTTTAGTTTGGAGAAGAGGAGGCTGAGGGGAGACCTCCTTGCCCTCTCCAACTCCCTGACAGGAGGGTGTAGAGAGGTGGGGGTTGGCCTCTTCTCCCAAGGGAAGGATGACAGGACCAGAGGAAATGGTCTGAAGTTGAGGTAGGGGAGGTTTAGATGAGATCTTAGGAGGAATGACTTTCCTGAGAGGGCGGTCAGGCACTGGAACGGCCTGCCCAGGGAGGTGGTGGAGTCACCATCCCTGGAGGTATTGAAGAAGCGTGTAGATGTGGCTCTTCAGGGCATGCTCTAGCACCCAAGATTGTTGGGTTGTGTCTGTTTCTGGGGTTGTGTTAGTTTGTGGGTTTTGTTTTGGGTTTTTTTGGTCCTGTTTTTTTGTTTGTTTGGTTTGGGTTTTGTTTGTTTGTTGGGTTTTTTTTCTGGTTGGACTCAATGATCTCAACGGTCCTTCAAAGGTGATTCTGTGATTATAGGCAAAGGGAGGTGGGGCTAGCTGGTCAGACAGCAGGGGAAAAGGAGGAGGTGAGATCTAGGTCCTGCACTGGCTCAGCTGAGGAGAGGCCTTAAGGAAAAGTTGTGGGATTTACCCCTGGAGAAGAAGGAAATAGGGCAATAGCTGTCACCATCTCAACCATCATTACCTGGTGACAGGACAAGGGGCAATGGGCACAAGCGAGAACATGGGAAGTTCTGTCTGAACCTGAGGAGGAACTTCTTCTTTGTGAGGGTGGCATAGCCCTGGCAGAGGCTGCCCAGAGAAGGTGTGGAGTCTTCTTCTCTGGAGATATTCCAAACCCACCTGGACGAGTTCCTGTCCAACCTGCTCTGGGTGGACCTGCTCTGGCAGGGGGTTGGACGGGATGATCTCCAGAGGTCCCTTCCAACCCTTACTATTCTGTGATTCTGCGTGATCGTGACTATCGACCTGCTTTGAGACGTCAAGAAATGCCTTCAGTGTGTCATTTTTGTCTACAGGAACAGATGGAAGGGCTGGAAAGGTTACCTCCTCCCGCTGCTCGGTGCTGTCCCTCAGCTGGAAATAACCATCCCTGGAGATGAGCCGGGAGGGGGAAAGGTGTGTGCACCCTTGGTCTGGCAGAGCATTAGCCTGGGAAGGCCTGGAGTTGGAGCCTCCCATGGGGGTGCTGCTGTGGGCTTGCTCTTGCCCTGCTGCCTGGAAGCCCTTCTAGCTCTACTTGGAGGGCAACCCTCCGTTTTGTACTATGTCCTTGAGAAAGGCTTAGGAGAGGGTTGGGTGCCAGGTTTGCTGTGCTCCTCCTGGGTGATAGAATATCTCTCACTCTTCAAAATGCTGCCTGATCTCATCAGTGTGTGCTGAGTTTCTTGGGAGGCAAATGAATAATTATGTCCTTTTTTTTTTTTTCACAGGGGAAAGAACATCCCCGGGGTCTGATCTTAGGCCAGAATTGGAACTGGAACTTTGAAAACAAAGCTTTTTTTTCCCCCTGAAATGGTAAGCTGTTAGCTAGTTCCTCAGTCTTGTACTCGGGTAAGGGGTCTAAACTGTTGAGCACTGAACAAATTTTCTTCATGTTGCTAAATATAGTAGGATTAAGGTGAATGTTTTTTGCAGTTCAAGCCTGTCCTGTACGTGCTGCTTTCACCTCCTCCTTTTAAATATCTGATCATCTTGAACCTTCCTGTTTTGCTTGGAGTATGAGCTTTTTGTGGGGGCACTTTCCTGTTTGCTCCCACCCTGTAGCTCATGGTGTTAATCTCTGATCGGGACTTTGCTGGTATTTCAGCAGAGTAAACAGAATTATCAAATATATTCAGAACTTAAAATTCAAGTGAGAGCAGGGATGTGCATAGCAGGAAGAGGCAGAATAAAAGTTTAGTTATTTTTCTTTTCATCTTGCAGGAGGAACCTTCCCAAAAAATGAAGGCTTTGCCACATGTTTTCTATAACCGGCCAAATAAAATACTGTGTTTTAAGGCATTCAGGGTCAGAGAAATAACTCAGGCTCCAGGCTTAGCATTTTTTTCTTCCTCACAATAGCTTCTGCTGAATGATAATCTTTAAAAATATGCATGGGAGGGGGGCGCAGATCCTGACCCCAAATTGCATCTGCTCTGCACCGCTGCGAAAAACGCAGAGCAGGCAGAAAGTCAGCTCAGCTGGATCCCTGGAGATTACCCACTCTGCCAGCAGTTGTGCAGGAGACTGGGCACCGGGGCCAGAGTATGGCAGAAGGAGGAGGATTTGTTGTGATGCTGGTATGTTTGGGTTTGTGTCGGGTGGTGGTGTGGACGTCCCCCAATTAGCACCTCGAGGGGGAGTTGGTCCCTCGCCACTCTCGCAACGGGGCTCTGGTGCTTGGCTCTGGCGTTGACTGTTTTCACTGAATTTCACTGAATTTTTAGAGTTGGAAGGGACCATAGAGATCATCTAGTCCAACTCCCCTGCTGAAGCAGGATTGCCCAGAGCTTGTCAGAGCATGTTACTCAGGAGCATCCAGGTGGGTCTTGAAAATCTCCAGAGAAGGGGACTCCACACCCTCCCTGGGCAGCCTGTTCCAGGGCTCTGCCACCCTCACTGTGAAGAAGTTTTTTCTCATATTTGAGTGGAACCTCTTATGTTCCAACTCACTGGGAACCACTGAAAAGAGTCTGGCTCCCTCCTCCTTCAACCCACCCTTGAGATACTTGTCAGCATTAATAAGGTCTCCCCTCAGCCTTCTCTTCTCCAGACTAAAGAGTCCCAGCCCTCTCAGCCTCTCCTCATAAGGGAGATGCTGCAATCCTTGAATCATCTTCGTTGCCTTTCACTGGACTCTTTCCAGCAGTTCTCTGTCCCTCTTGAACTGGGGAGCCCAGAACTGGACGCAGTATTCCAGTTGTGGCCTCACCAGTGCAGAGCAGAGGGGGAGAATGACTTCCCTTGACCTGCTGGCCACACTCTTCCCTGTGCAGCCCAGGATTCCATTGGCCTTCCTGGCCACAAGAGCACACTGCTTGCTCATTTGCGTTTTGCTGTCCACCAGGACCCCTAGATCTTTCTCTTCAGAAGTTGCCTCCAGCAGGTCCACCCCTAATATGTACTGGTGCCTGACATTCTTCTTCCCCAGGTGCAGGACCCTACACTTTTCCCTGTTGAACCTCATGAGGTTCTTCCTTGCCCAGCTCTCCAGCCTGTCCAGGTCTCACTGGATGGCAGCACGGCCCTCCGGGGTGTGAGCCACCCCTCCCAGTTTGGTATCATCAGCAAACTTGCTGAGGATACACTCTGTCCCCTCGCCCAGGTCACTGATGAATATGTTGAACAGGACTGGACCAAGTATTGACCCCTGGGGGACACCACTGGTTACAGGTCTCCAGCTTGAACCTTCTCCATTAATCATTACCCTTTGGGTCCTGTCGCGCAGCCAGTTCTCAATCCACCTCACTGTCCCCTCATCCAGCCCACACTGCCTTAGTTTCCCAATGAGGATGTTATGGGAGACAGTGTCAAAAGCCTTGCTGAAGTCAAGCTAGATGACATCTGCTGCCCTCCCCTCATCCAACCAACCAGTTATAGCATCATAGCAGGCTATCAGATTGGTCAAACATGATTTACCCTTGGTAAACCCATGTTGCCCACTTCCAATAACCCCCCGCTCTTCATATTTTTCTGCACATACGTGTCGTTGCCATATGACAAATGCAGGCGTGACGCGAAACGTGGCTTTTACAGCTTTTTTCCCGTGAATGTTTATGGATGGAAACCCCAAAGAGTGTTTTGTTGCTAGAGAGTGGTCCAGGGCAAGCACAGCAGCCAGGGTTATCCCTCTGCCACCTTCCCGGTGACCAAGCCCAGGTACAACCACACACACTTCTGTCACAAAACCATCCCCCCTAAATGTTTCCTGGCCCATCTTTTCCTGTCGGCAGGAAGCACGGGCATTTGCCCTGTTGGAGGGCCAACCTGATGGCTAACTCCGTGCTGGCTGCTACGAGCAGTGGAAACTTTTCCTGCATTTAAAGGGAGAAAATCAAACTGGAGTGGGCTGGAGCTATTTACAGAGCAAGCTGTGTTTGAATAACCCAGTCTTTTTCTTTAAAGATGCTGAATAGATTGGCTTATATAGCTTTTTTTCACTCTTTAAAATTGATACTTTGTTTTAACAATAATTCAGACTTGGCTAGTTTATTATTTTTTAAAATAAACCCCAAGTGTCTGCATTGGCTGTACCCATGAGTATTCACCTCTGGAATTCCAATTTTGCCTATTCTCCATTTTCTCACAAATCGACAATACCCTGAGCTTTCCTCAGAGGCATGGCTCCTGAAACAGAACACCAGGAAATTTCAGTTTTCATTATACTGTGATATTAAAAAGCGTACTTCTTTCTTTTGTAATGATGGCGAAAAGATTGGAAACGTGAGCTGAATGTACTCCACCGGCTCAAGAACTGGAAAGCGATGAATAAAGGACCCCAAATTCACTGAGGTTTTTTTGTTGGCTTGGGTTTTCCTGTTTTCTAAACTAGCAACAGGTTTGGGGAGGTCTCATTCACACGTTTATCCTCAGAAATGGCCAATGCTGAGATCCTGTTGGATGCTGCAGGACAGCTGCTCCAAACTGCTCTGTGTTTTCTCTCATCATTTAGTCCCTCAATCTGCCCAAGGTCCTTCTGTTTCTACCCCAATCCAATTTCTTTTTGATTTTGGTTTCCTGAAGCCTGGAGAACTTGTCTATGTGGAGAAGCTCCCTATCAGTTTGCTTCTGTTACTTGTGCTTGTGTGACCCAGAGGAGCCCCTGGTTTGCAGGGTGGGCGCCCAGAAGATAGGTGTTCATCCTGTCTGCTCCTGGAGCTGATTGCTGCAGGATGTGAATAAGTTTCCCTGATGTGGCCTTCCAAAACTGGGTGATAAATGACAACCTTTGGTAAAATACCAGTCTGGTTCGAGGACTGCTGGTAGTGGTGAACCTCTGGGCCTTGCTGGCAGAACTTTCCAGCAGTTCATGCTTGGTGCTGCTGCCTGATTGCCCACCTGTGGCAGCTCCAACAATGGGAATTTCCGTCTAAATGTGAGGAGGAACTTTCCTGTGAGGGTGGCAGAGCCCTGGCAGAGGCTGCCCAGGGAGGTGGTGGAGTCTCCTTCTCTGGCGACGTTCAAACCCCACCTGAACATGTTCCTGTCCAGCCTGCTCTGGGTGGCCCTGCTCTGGCAGGGGGTTGGATGAGGTGATCTCCAGAGGTCCCTGCCAACCTGACCATTCTGTGATTCTGTGATCCCCAGGGCTGCAGGAGGCTGCCTGCCCCATGGCTGGAGGCAGCTATGACCATGGAAGGCTAGCATGATTTCAGAGTGGTGGTGTCTTCAGGCTTCCTTTTCGGTATGTGTCCTGATTTAACTTTACACCTTGGCCATGCTGGTGCTCCTTGGCTTTTTGAGCAGCCAGCCCTCCATGCTCCTGATATTTCCTGGTAAGCTTTCCAAGGTGGCAGATGGGGAGAAGTGCTGCAACCGAGATGACTTTCCTCCCTTGTCATCCTGTGGAGAGGGGGCATCCTGCCCTGAGGAGCAGCTTCTCGCCATGGACTGAGCCCATGACCTACCTGCATGTGGCGTGGTACCTCCTCCACTGGGGCTACCAACCACCCAGGGGTGTGCGACCAGCAGCGTGGGCACCAAGCTAAGAGAGAAAAGCCCCAGGGAAGGAGGGTAAAAGCACAGACACTTTCTTACTCCACCTGAAGACCCTTTTGCCAGGACTCTTTCTGCTAGTAAAGGGAATTGTATTTTTTCTCCCTCTCTTCTCCCAGATTTCTGCAAGAATGCAGGCTGTTCCCTGCCCATCTCGTGCATCCTGCTGTGCACCCCAGTGAGAGCCCCACTTAGGAGGAACAGTGCTAAGATCCAGTGCTGGATCTCTTGTTCCCACCAGTGTCCATCAACCAACTGGGCTGCTGCTGGGGAGGCACAGCTCCACCTTCTTTGCTCCTGAGCACCTTCTGCTGCTGGCTCTGCTTCTCTACCTGCTGTTTGTAGTGAGGACTCATCACAGAGGTAAGCTCATTAGTCACCCACAAGGAACACTTCCCTGCTTCCATTTATAGTCTTCCCTCTCTATTCCTTTTCACAGCCCTCACCTTAGTCACTACTCAGTTCTTGCCACCTGGGCTTTGTTTTTATTTCATCTTGGACCTGATAAAACATGAGGAAAGGGGAAAATTCGAAAAGGGAGACCAACATCACAAACAAAGTGTATGTAGGACACATTTAATGTTGGACTAATTGGCCTACAGTTTACGGGCAGAACACTCGCAGCAAAGCTATTACATTAAATGAAATCGAGAGCATTTACCCTAAGAGGTTAAAAGGCACAGGACAGACCAACAGGAGCCCTTTCATCCTCTTGGAATTTCTTGTGTCCTGCCAGCAGCTGGGATTGCTTTCCTGCCCTTAGCACTGGTCAGTCCAGGGCTGACCCTTGGCCACCAGCCTGGCTGAGAGTCCCACGGGCAGTCCACGAGAGGAGGAGAAGTGCCATGAAATCCAAAAGTCTCTGCAGAGGTATTTCAGTGCCTGGAGGTGCAGATGAGCATTTTGGGGCCTTTCAAAACTTCCTAAGTATGTTGGAAGGGGAAAAGAGGAAAATTCCCATCTCAGGGATTGAGTCGAGGCCTTGGAAAACCTCACCAGGCACTTCTCTTCATGTCTAAGCTCCTATATGTATTGGAAAATCTGCTCCAGAGTCGTTATTATTTCTGTCCAGCAGTTTCTGCCCACCCAGGGCTGGGAACAGAGTCTCAGCCCAGTCCCTCCTTGCTGTGTGGAGCTGCTGCCAGACCACTGCAGCGTGAGGGACCTACAGATCCCAGGGAGGAGAAACTCCTCCTCCAGCAGCATGTTTCTAGCTGACACTGATTTGCAGTAGGGCTGTCAACAGCAGCCAGGGAGCCCTGGTCCTGGAAAAAAATATGTTGATTGCCTGGGTTGGTTTTAATTCATTAATCCTTTCTCCTCGACCTGAGGTGTTGCAGCATCGCTGAGAGACGAGACGTGCTGCTGCTGCTGCTCTCCCCCTTGCTGTTTTGGAGCGTGGAGTCTGGTTGGCCAGGTCCAAGAAGGGCTGGGAAGATGGACTGTACTGTTTGAAAGCTGCCCAGACCTGTAAGTCAGTTGTATTTATATAATTTTGCCTGTCTCTTTCTACATCTGAATTTTAAACATCCGTTACAAGGCAGTACTGCTTTTAGCGGCGAGCCAAGTTTTTCTTCTAAAACACATGTTCCCTAAAGCCTTAGTACTTTATTTCCTTTGTTCTGATTTATTGCTGTTGCCTTACCACATGTGCTAGGCACAGAGGAGAAAAACTACCAAAACCAGCAAAACAGCCCTACCCAGACCACATACATCAGGATTAACGCACTCAATCTGTTATATCAAGTGATTCAACAACGAACTGACTTACCTCTAATTTCTTAACTGCCTCCAAGCAGATATGCTGATGAAGAGTGAGTGTAGGCTAATAATGTGAAGATTATAGTAAACAAAATGAAAGTTGCCGTGGGGATCTGAAAACTGATAGATGCTAAATCTGGAGAATGATAGTGAGATTAAAAAATATAAAATTGTCGGCTGCGTTTTCTAAATAGGGATTTTGTGGATATCGATTTTATGTGCCTTTTATCAATACATAAAATGGCCTCATTTGTCAAAGGATGAACTCTTCCACAAAATAAAGGCCACTTTTTGGTATCTTAGGGTAAGCCTCAAGCAGCTGAGGTGTGCATTTGCTGGTCACTTGGGGAGAAAAGAATAATAGAACTTGGCTGTTACTGTTAGGTTTGCAAAGCTGTTTGAGGTAGAAAAGTTCTATCAAAGTTTGTTTTCTCAGAGGTTGTTCAGCCTTGACAACAGCAGGAGGATAAATTATTTTCATTGGTGTTTATGCTAAAGTTAGCTCCGTGTTTTCCTCCTCAAATGCAAAGCAACAGTGCAGAGGTTGAGGTGTGGCCATGAGTCAGATGGACCTCAGCAGAGAAAAACTGCTTTGGTGCTATGGGGTGTCTGTGGCACCCACCTCCTGTGCCCTTGGGCACACCTAGGAAATGCCTGGGTCCATACTCATAGCTGGTTTTATTAACTCTGTAAAAATTTACCTATTCATATTGGAGTTTGACAATCCAGAGGATTGTGCTGCCATCCAGAAAGACCTGGACAAGCTGGAGAGCCCGGCAGAGAAGAAACTAATGAGGTTCAATAAAGGCAAGTGTAAGGTCCTGCACCTGGGGAGGAAGAACCCCAGGCATCAATATAGGTTAGGGGTGGACCTGCTGGAAAGCACTTCTGAGAAGAAGGATCTGGGAGTCCTGGTGGAGAGTAAACTCTCCATGAGCCAGCAGTGTGCTCTTGTGGCCAAGAGGGCCAGTGGGATCCTGGGCTGTGTAGGGAAGAGTGTGGCCAGGAGGTCCAGGGAGGTCATTCTCCACTCTGCTCTGCACTGGTGAGGCCACAACTGGAATCCTGCATCCAGTTCTGGGCTCCCCAGTTCCAGAGAGACAGGGAACTGCTGGAGAGAGTCCAGCGTAGGGCAACAAAGAGGATGGAGGGATCGGAGCATCTCCCTTATGAAGAAAGGCTGAGAGAGCTGGGACTCTTCAGCCTGGAGAAGAGAAGGCTGAGGGGAGACCTTATCTATGTTTACAAGTACCTAAAGGGTGGGTTGAAGGAGGATGGAGTCAGACTCTTTTCAGTGGTTCTCAGTGACAGGACAAGAGGCAACGGGCACAAGCTGGAACATGGGAAGTTCCTCTCCAATCTGAGGAAGAACTTCTTTGGGGTGAGGGTGGCAGAGCCCTGGAAGAGGCTGCCCAGGGAGGGTGTGGAGTCCCTGTCTCTGGAGATCTTCAAGCCCCACCTGGATGCTCCTGAGTGATGTGCTCTGGGCAGCCCTGCTTTGGCAGGGGAGTTGGACTGGGTGATCTCTAGAAGGTCCCTTCCAACTCTGACAATTCTGTGATGTCAGATGTCGAGTGTCTTGGCCACGTCCTTGTCAGGAGGAGGTCTCTCTAGGACCGTGGTGGAAATCATCTCCAACCTGTGGTGTTATCCGTGAGGGTTTGCAGGGTGGAGTTGGTGTACAATCCCCCCGTCCACTCTCCAGGCTGTGCCCAGCAACGTGCACTGAGAGCAGAGCTGCTGGCTGCTTCGAGCAGTACCCGTGGGCTCTGTCCAAGTGGCTGCAACCACCTTGGCACAGGATTTGGGGGATTTGTTCAAAGTTCAAAGATGTAGGGATGAGGCCTGTCTTTGGAGACAGATGGTTTGTGTTCCCAGTGGCAGCGCTGGCAGCTTATAGGCTGCCCAGGGAGGTGGTGGAGTCTCCTTCTCTGGAGACATTCAATTCCCTCCTGGACACGTTCCTGTGCAACCTGCTCTGGGTGGACCTGCTGTGGCAGGGGGTTGGACTGGGTGATCTCCAGAGGTCCCTTCCAACCCCACGTGACTCTGTGATTCTGCTGGGATACACTTTCCTCTGAGAGCCCCACGGGCTTTAGAAAAAGCCAAGTGGTGAAACACACCGCGTCCTGGTGCCCAGTGAACACAAAGGTCAAATAAAGCCAAGAGCTCACAGGGGAAGGGATGTCCTGGCAGAGGGGAACACTCTTCATGCTTTCTCCCTTTCCTTAAACCGGCCCAACAGCGACCTGTGCTCTGCCGGGTACACGCTCGTCCCTTGTTGGAGCTGATGGATCACGAGCTGATTTTCTTCTCTTGTGTTTTCCCTTTGTGCCAGGCTATCGATGTGAAGCTTATTGTCATATTCAGGCCTGTTAACTGCCTTACTTCACAAAAGAGAGCATTCAAAAGCCTGCTCAGAGGCGTATTTGTCTTTCCTCCCCCCCCACCCCCCTTCTCCTTTTGCTAGGAAAGCTGGTTTCCATTTAAAAATGTTTTACAGCATCTGCTCCCTTGAAACCAATATGAGGCAAGACCAGCGATTGCAGCCAGTTGCAACATCTCGTCTTGCTGGATGGAGGCACATCGTGTCACCAGTGGTGCTGCTGGTGAAACCTCCGTGAAGGAAGGAAACCCGCTGAGACCTGGCTGCCTGGGGGCTGTTAACCCATCGGAGGTGAGCTAAAGACCCAATTTCACTCTGTTTCTTTGAAGAGGGAGCTGGACACACCAAAGCCAAGGTTCAGTGAACTGAAGCTTCCATAAATCTACATCAGAGTGTGAGAGAATTAGGGCCAATGGGTTGGGTCCACTGAAAACTAAGTCAAACTTTGACCCCAAACCAGCCAAGCTTTCTGATTTTTAACATCTCTTGAGGATTCAGTTAAACCAGGATGTCAGAGGCAGTGATGTCACAGGAACCCAGCGCTGATACATGTCTCACCTAGAATCATAGAATTGTCCAGGCCGGAAGGGACCTCCAAAGGTCATCTAGTCTGACCTCCCCGCAGTCAGCAGGGACACCTCCAACTAGACCAGGTTGCCCGGGGCCTCATCGAGCCTCACCTAAATCCTGCAAGAGCAAATCCTCATATAAAATGGTCAGACCACAGCTTTGATGAAACTAAGAGCACAGATACTGTAACCTGTGTATCACTGAGCATCTTTATAATCATAATTCTCAGATGATTTTAGACTGCTTTCAGGTCCAACCAAACAGTGACTAAAGCAGTGTACTTGGTACCAAAGTTCAGTAAATTATTTGTATTCGTGTGGCTTGTGAGGTTCTTGGAAGCTTTCTCAAAGGGCAAACTCTGTTTTGTTTGGGAGGGGAAAAAGGCAAACCATGGTCGCCTGCTTGAAAATGCTCATGAGAAGATCCTTCTCAGAAAGACCTAAGAGCATTGGGCCCTCTTTTTGTTTTCTTAGAAAACAGGAAATGAATTTTAGCTCTGCAAGCTAACTTGATTTCTTATGTGACTTGCTTTCTACCATCACTTTTGGGTTCTGGAATGCTACAGAAATTATCTGAGGGCATTTTCAACACTCCAAAATTAAAATCAAATTGTTGAAATTGTGCCAGCATTTAAATGAAAATTATTTTCTTTAAACAAACACTTAAGGACTTTCAGTATTATTTTTTTTTTTAATCACAAGAGCATTCTTAACCCAAACACCTTTTCTTTGTGGTTTTTCAAGAATCCAGGCTGCACGGCTAAAGCCAAATGTGTCTTGGGATGTAATCAAATTCAAGATCTTTTTAGCCAAAAACTAGATGAGCCTGCAGTGCTAGTTTTTTGTTTTTTTTTTTTCACACAGCACAAACACGTTAAGTGGGTGTAACTGCAAACACCATCTCTGCCTCCTGTGCCCACAGAAGTGCCTGGGCAGCGATGCCAGCGCGGGATCCTGCTGAGCAGAAGGAGAAGGCTCAGGTGTGGGGCTGAGCATCTGGGGCTGGCGCAGCCCACGGCAGCGAGCGGGGAAACAAGAGAGGTGGGAGCTGGTCATTAAATCTGCTGCTGGGCAGGTGCCCTGACGTTCAGCTTTCCAGGCAGTGGAGATGAGAGAGCCACAGAAGCTGCTGCAGATTAACGAGGGAGGATTAGCACAGCCCTTGCCTCTTTGGGAGGCTTTGGTGAGCTTATATGTGGTTCCGGAGCTGGTGCGTGTCACCAGAGGGTGAGTCCTTGCCCAGGTGTCCAAGAAAGCCAACAGCATCCTGGCCTGTATCAGGAACAGTGTGGTGAGTAGGGCCCGAGATGTGATGGTCCCCCTGTCCTGGGCACTGGTGAGGCCCCACCTCGAGGGCTGTGTCCAGTTTTGGGCTCCCTACCGTAAAAAAGACATTGAGGTGCTGGAGCGGGTCCAGAGAAGGGCAACAAAGCTGGTGAGGGGTCTGGAGCACAAGTCTTATGAGGAGAGGCTGAGGGAGCTGGGGGTGTTCAGCCTGGAGAAGAGGAGGCTGAGGGGAGACCTTCTCGCTCTCTCCAACTCCCTGAAAGGAGGGTGTAGAGAGGTGGGGGTCAGTCTCTTCTCCCAAGTCCCAGGATGAGAGGAAATGGCCTCAAGTTACACCAGGGGAGGTTCAGGCTGGATATTAGGAAACATTTTTTCATCCAAAGGGTTATCAGACCTTGGGATGGGCTGCCCAGGGAGGTGGTTGAGGCACCATCCCTGGAGGTGTTCAAAAGACAGGTTGATGTAGTGCTGGGAGGTATGGTTTAGTGATGGTGTTGCTTTTTGTTTGTTGTGTGGGTGTCTATTTTTGTCAGTTAGGTTGACGGTTGGAGAAGATGATCTTTAAGGTCCCTTCCAACCTAGAAGATTCTGTGATTCTGTGATTCTGTCTGGTGGAGCAGCACCTTGACTGGAGCTCTGAAGCGCTGGAGGGTCTACGTGGAGCCCTTCAAACACTCAGGATGTGTCTGGCTCTTTTCCCGTGCCACGGGGTGTAGCCTGCCCTGAGGTGTTCCGTGCACTCTAAAGCCTCTGGGGCACAAGTTGGGCTTGAGCTTCAAACCAGAGCAGCCAGGAGCTGCCCTGTGTCCTGCTGCAGAAACCTGGGAATGCAGGGACTGGTGTTTGTGTCAAAGTCCATCTGGGCCAGTATCGTGCTGGCCAGCAGGAGCTGCCTAGGAGGAGAGTTTGGGAATAGGAGGTATGTGTGATGAGACCATTCCCTGATGCTCACTGCTAGCTCTGGGATTTTTAGGAGCCAGGATTTCCATGGGGTTCTGCCACCCCGTCCTTCTCTAAGAAGACCCCAGGCCAAGTTCCACGTCTAGGCTCTGAGTTCCAGCCCTGCTGCCTGTCCACGGGGCAAGGTTTCTAGCCATGAGGTGTGAAAGGTTTCTAGTGAGGTGTGAAAGCCTGTCCCTCGGTACAGGGACTCCTCTTGGGGGACAATTGATTGTCCCTTAGTGAGCTCCCAACCCTGCCAGATCAAGGCCTTGCTCCAGCCCCAGGTCCCCATCGCTGAGCGGTAGCTGGCTGTGGGGATGGGAAATTACATCCCTGTCCATAAAAGCAGTGGTGGAGGGGTTTTGTCATCGTTTCATAGGTGAGGTTGGGAGGAGGAGGAAACCACCTTCAGGTATGGGATGATATGGTGGATGCCAGCTGAGGATGTGGTCCTTCATTATTATTGCCTCTTTGACAGCACAGGAGGACTGGAGCAAGATGTTCCTCCTTTGGAGACCAGAAGCAGGACTGCTTGGGGAATACGTACCTTGGTTTGACAGACTCTGTCCTTTCTGTGCGTAATAAATGGAGGAGCCTGAAGACACTTCCCCTCAGCAACACAAATTACTCACTGTTATCAAAGAACTGCAGAACTTGTGTGTTGGCAAAAAAAAAAAAATCCTTCCTAATGACACTGGTGACATGATTTTTGGTCATCTGCAGATCAGGGAGCCACTACTGTACGTGTGCTACCAGAAAGGGTGTGCAGCAGAAGGCATCCCCTGTGAGAATCAGGGTGGTTTTTTATCTTTTGGGTGCTATTGGTTACACTTGCTCCATCAACAAATGCTTGTAACGAGTGCTGTCACTCCTTTGGACGTCCCACAAAGGACACGCATGAGTACGCGTGACCATGCAGCACACATGATCTCAAGACTTGGATGTTTTTCTCCAATGTATTGGATTTTCTGGTATTCACTTTAAGATTAACCACATTACAGAAGGCTGAAATGTCCCCAACTTCCTTAGCCTTTTCCTGTGGCAATCAGTAAACTCTTTAAAGAGCCAATAGCGAGGGAAACGTTCTAAGTGTTAAGAGACCTCTCCCTACATGTAACCTTAAGTTACAATGCTGGGATCTAGAGCAGCTACAACAAGACCGAGCTGCATAAAGCCTTTTCAGGCCTATGGACATGGCAGTCCTTCAGATGACTACTCCGGAATACCTTTCTCCAATGGGTGAAGGTGACACCATTACCCTCAGCTGGCTCCTGCTTAACTCTCCAGCTCCAGCGTGGCTGGGGCTGAGGAGATGTGAGTGGAGATAGGATCTCCCAGAGGCTTACGCTGGCCAGGAAAGTGCTGGTGGGGAAAAGGATGTGGAGCATGGCCAAGTAAGAAGGGTCTGGAAGGAGTTTGTGACAGTCTGTTATTTCATTATGAGCTAGGAGATGCGAAATTTCCTTTTCCAGATGAGCACGTTTCGTGTTTTGCATGAGGCAGCAGTTGCTTCTTGTAAGACTTAGCATTTCTGCTAATTTAATGAGTTAGCTTTTCAAATTAACTGCAGCAGTCATTGGAAAGGCCCCTGTCGAGTTCCACAAGCGTGTGTTAGACCTCTTGATAAAGCCAGTAGCATGCTGGACTTCCACAAGCAGAAGGACCTCCAAAAGTATGTGAGTTATTTCTGGCATGTTGTATTCTCAACACGTCAAGGAAACATGGATTATTTTTACACAAACAGAGAAATCAAAATGGTTCCTTAGCAAGCTCCCATGAACGTTCTTGGGCCCTGAGAAAGAAAAGAAAACCCCCACAAAAAAAATCATTGCTTGTTAATTAGGTTTCTTAGATGGATCGTGTTGTCACACAGTCAGAAGTTCAGTTGCACTAATTTGGACGTCTCGTGGCCTGAATGATGGAAGGAGTGAAGGATAAAACAGAAGGAGAAAGCAAGGACCAGGAATTAATTTGGATATTTGATCTCCAAGTGGACTTTTTTTTTCTTTTTTCTCCTCCTTACTGTGAATTTATCATCGAACGTAGACCGTGACAAACTGCAGACACTTTTGGAAGTTCTTTTTAAGAGCTGCTAGCTGCAAGGTGGTGTGTAGGTGTCGAGAGAAAGAGCATCTCTGGAGCTGAAGGGGCCTGTGTGGAAAGAACGTGCCAAGGTCTTGCTGAAAAACACCGACCAGCGCGGCGGCGAGAGGACTGGGGTGTCCTAAACTCTCCTGACATGGCAGCACACCAATTAGGCTACAAATTAGGCTGGTTTGACACTCCTCATTAAGGCTTACAAGTGCTGACTGGGGTTTCCAGGCAAACCTAATTAGGTATCACAGCCATGGCCTCCGCTTGGTGCTCCACGTCTGAGCTGGTGTTTCTGTGTAGGATTCTCATGCATCAGGTTGGCTCAGTCAAAACCCAGTTATGACACCCACCCACCGAAGCTGAGTCCTGGGATTAAGGTTAAAAAAAAAGTACCCACATCCAAATTCAGGAGGAGAACTTGTTGCTTGGGCTCAGTGGGGCCACCTACGCCAAGGCTTGTTTCGGCCCAAGGAGTGTCAATTCCCTGAAAGGAGGGTGTAGAGAGGTGGGGGTCGGTCTCTTCTCTCAAGTCACAGGTGACAGGACGAGAGGAAATGGCCTCAAGTTACACCAGGGGAGGTTCAGGCTGGATATTAGGAGAATTTTTTTCACCCAAAGGGTTATCAGGCTGTGGAATGGGCTGCCCAGGGAGGGGGTTGAGGCCCCATCCCTGGAGGCGTTCAAAAGACGGGTTTAAGTAGGGCTGGGAGGTATGGTTTAGTGATGGTGTTGCTTCTTGTTTGTTGTGCGGGTGTTAATGTTTGTCAAATTTAGGTTGACGGTTGGACAAGATGATCTTTAAGGTCGCTTCCAACCTAGAAGATTCTGTGATTCTGTGATTGATGCTTACGTAGAAGGATGTCAATAATCATTGATAATTACCTTTTCTCACTGTGAGGGTGTATTTTCTTTTGCGAATACTTCACAGCAGGAATAATACCAGGAAGAATAAAAGGGAAGAGGACACTTTTGTGTGGTCAGAACCTCCAGCAGCCGAGTGTTCCTACATGTTGATGATGAGTACAAGAGAGACGGAGCTGCTGTGTCATGTACCTTGGAGCCACGTGGAATCAAAGTTCGTGCTGATTTCTCTTTTTTTTTCCTTTTTTTAATGTTAGTTTAACATTTGCCCTCTCCTCTGGCAAGCAGCAGGAAGGAGGTCAGAATGTGGTGCCAGCACAACAGCATGAGAGCCACTGAGACTCATCCCTCTGCTACAATTAATAGGTGACGCTGCTATTTCCTATTTCCCCTCTGAATCTCCACTCCTGAGAGTTTGAGCCCAATCCCGAGTTTTCTTTTTAAGCAGAGCATCTAGCAAGTTAAAACTCAGCATCAGGAGGAGGTCCCTAAGATGGGGTTTGCTCCAGCTTCCCCGCGGAGCTGCTGCTAAAAAATGTGGGAGAGGATGGTAGTTGCTCTGCTGTCACATGGGCTGAGAGAGCGCAGAACCTGCTTAGCATTCTTGAAAGGAAATTACCCAGTGCTGCAACTCACAATTTATAATTGGTTGCATATTAATATCCAAAAAAGGCAATAAAATCCACTGCCTGTTTTTTTTTTTTTTAAAAACACACACACACACAAAAAAAAAGTAAGTAGGAGTATTACAAGCTGAGCAGTGAAAATCTGGATAACTCCTTGGCTGGAGCAGAGCTGTGCGCAGTGCTGTTTCTCCCGTAATTACGAGCAATTTTAAATCATCTCCTTCCTTCAGAGGAGGATTTTGTTCAGTGTTTGTGTTAATTTTCATCTCGCTAACGTGATATTCTCTTGGAACCTCTCCCTCGTGTCGTAACAGCAAGACATGCTGCCTCTTTTGTCCCCGCCGTTGGGGAAAGGCACAGCTACTGCTGCTTCTCGCTGCAGCCCTGGGGTTCTTACTCTCAATTTACCTCCCTTTAAAGGAAAAGAAAACAGAACAAAACCCAACAGCAGCATTTATTTTCTTCCCCCCAGAGCTCCTGTTTATTTGTAGTATTTAAGCTAGACGGTGCAAGTGCTTTATGGAAATCAGGGGGTTCAGATGTACAGCGCTGTGTTGTAGTGGAAAGCTTGTTATTCAGCATACTAATTATTTCTGAGTCACTGTATTTATGAAAAGTCATGCAATAACTGCCTCCCCACGACGCAAAGCAAATAGTGCAAGATCAGGCGGTTTACGATTTTGACATTTTAGTGTATAAACATATTCCTCAGTCTCTCAAGGAGGGGGACGGGAGGAGGAGGGAGCTATTGGGAATTAGATAATGCTTTTATGACTTCCAAAAGGCAATTCTGTGTCTAGGCAAGTCCATGATTCTAAAAAATGGCATTGAATTTCATGATGTGTAACACTCCGTATCCACAGCCCCGTGCAAGGCTGCGCCTTTTATTACAGTCTCAGTGGCTTCTGGTGCAAGCGTCAGCTGCGGAGAGAAAGCCCTCCAGAGGCTGGTTTGTGGAGCGGGGAAAGGGGGGGACACACACCACACGGTAAAACCTTCCAGGGCACACGTCGGAGCCCTTGGGACACGCTGAGATTGCCCACCCGGGCACCAGAATTCACCCCGAGCTTTGTGTGCTTTGGATGGATGGCAAAGCCCTCGCTGAAGGCTTGTCCTTCTGGCCAGCACTAGTCGCTGGAGGGTCAGCCTGGGGTTTTTGGGGAGCCCCATGTGAACTACCCGTTACCTCCAGAGGAAGTGGAAATCTCGATGAGTGACAAACGGGGAGTGAGGGGCCGAGAGGAAGGAGAGCTCCGAGCTCCCACTGGGCTTCTGAGTGGTCCCGTGCGGTCTCTGAGAATGGGTGGATGCTCACCAGAATATGTGATTCCATAAAATATCATGCACCAACCCAGGCCCGTTGAGCTCCTTTCCAAGCTTGCTCGGGGCTCTGCAAGCTGTGGGTTGTGTGCGTGGAGGCCAGGAGAAGTCTCTGTTGACAGCAGTGATCCAGCATCTTTCTGGCACGGGGCAAGTGGTGATGAAGCAGCTACAGATGTCTCCTCAGTGCTTTACCTGTTGGTTCTGAGGAGTGTGATCTACCACGCGTTTTGCTGGAATCGTGGAGCTGATTTACCCTTATCCACGTTGGGATATGTTATTTTCTTCATTTCAGACACAGACGCACAGTCTTCAGGCTATTAAACCACAAATCTGGTTTAATTTTTAATTTTTCTGTGAGCTGATGCGCTTGTTGTGAGTCTCAAGGTTGTGCAAAATGGTGATTTGCTTAAGCTAAACTTCATGGAAAAAGGAAATTTTGTTAACAAAACTAAAGTGAAATAATAATTTTTACCATTCCAGGTGAGTGGCTACCCAGACTTCCTTTTCCTTTCCTGTTCCAAGTGCAAGAAATGTACCAAGAGCTGGCAAACAGAGGTAGCAGGCTTTCACTCATCTTTAAGACTCCATATTGTATATCTTTTCTGACTTTCCTATAAATAAAAACAGCTATAAGAGTGCCTCTGGCTATTATATCCAAGGATAAGTATTTGAGATACATGAGAGATGCTCAGGGAATTGATGTCTTCAGGAGAAAAAAAAACGTCCTGAGATCAATTTCCTGATTCAATAGCGAAGTCCTGATATCATACAAAATGTAATGTGATTGTCCATGGCTCTAATAAAATCTTGATTTTTTTTCCACCAAGCTTTCATCTATAAAAATCAAATTTATCCAGCATTAGTCTGCATTTTGAAAGGGATAGGGTTTGGGTTTTTTTAAATAGATGTGATAGTAATCCTTTATGGTACATTAATATAGGAGAACAATAATTTGTTGCATTTTCTTTACACAGAAACAATCAGCCAGGAGATGTGCGTAATAATTGTCTTTGTCCTTCATTGTCACAGGCCATTAGCTAATGAATTTAAGCTGTGCTTGGCTCTTGCTCCAATAAGAAAACTACATTATAGGTCTTGTAGCCTTGGCGTTAGATGAAACCTTTCAGTGGGTTTTATTGCAGCCTCGCTGAGGTGGCGCTGCCATGGATGGAGGAATGCATCCTGGGTTGGCGGTCGGCAACGAGGGTGACGTTGCCTGGTGTCATGGGTCAAGCAAGCTGAAGTACAGGTTGGGGGTGACCTGCTGGAGAGCAGCTCTGAGGAGAAAGACCTGGGAGTCCTGGTGGACAACAGGATGCCCATGAGCCAGCAATGGGCCCTTGTGGCCAAGAAGGCCAAGGGCATCCTGGGGGGCATCAGGAAGAGTGTGACCAGCAGGTGGAGGGAGGTCATCCTGCCCCTCTGCTCTGCCCTGGGGAGGCCCCATCTGGAGCACTGGGTCCAGTTCTGGGCTCCCCAGTTCCAGAAGGACAGGGAACTGCTGGAGAGGGGACAGCAGAGGACTACAGAGATGATGAGGGGCCTGGAGCATCTCCCTTACAAGGAGAGGCTGAGGGACTTGGGGCTTTTTAGTCTGGAGAAGAGAAGGCTGAGGGGGGAAATGATCAATGCTTATAAATACTTAAAGGGAGGGTGTCAGGAGGACGGGGCTAGTCTTTTCTCAATGGTGCCCAGTGACAGGACAAGAGGAAATGGGCACAAACTTGAGTATAAGAAGTTCCACCTCAACATAAGGAGGAACTTCTTCACTTTGGGGGTGTCAGAGCCCTGGAAGAGGCTGCCCAGGGAGGTGGTGGAGTCTCCTTCTCTGGAGACATTCAAACCCACCTGGACACGTTCCAGTGGGACCTGCTCTGGGTGGACCTGCTCTGGCAGGGGGTTGGACTAGATGATCTCCAGAGGTCCCTTCCAACCCCATGGGATTCTGTGATTCTGTGATTAAAGCTGTGAGATGCCGGAGCCTCTTCCTTTGGTTCCTTATGATTTTGCCCAACTTTTCAGGCCCACATTTGTGACTGTTTCAGGTTCATCTTTCAAGTGGGAAGATTTGCTAAACTGGGTTCAGCTACTCTAAGATGGACGCTGGGGAAAATAAGTCGTTTGGGAAATATTTGGAGAAGAATGGATGGGGAGTGCGTGATGCAGAGATGCAGAGACTCTCAGGAGAGCAGCTGGAGTTTAATTCTGCGCCTGCTCGGGGATTATTTTTCCTGCACAAGCTGTAACACCACGGCATGGAGGGGATGGCTGTGGGGAAACGTTGGTCAGGTTTTGTTGTGTCACGTAGAGAGAGACGGCGCCAGACAGCCAGCAGCACCTCTGCGAAGCCATGTGAGAAATGAGCCAGGACCACCACTTCTGTGACCAGGCCACATTTGCTCCCTTACCTCATTTTATCTCCATAACCAGCCCCTGAGGTTTCCATGGCTGGTGGACCCCCATCTGGGTGGTACCATCTGCCTACTCGGGCAAGTGTTTTCCTAGACAGTGCAGGAGATGTTCTGAAGGCTGTATCCAACCAAGGTGATGCTTCGGTGTGAAATGGGCACTGCTTGCAGCAGAAGGAGTGGCCAGGAGACTCGAGGGCCCAGAGGGCAGGTGCCAGGTAGCAGCGACCACCCGTTTTTCTATCCCAGCAACACTCACAGTCCTACTGACAGAGGCGGATTCACACGAGGAGTGAATTCAATATGCATGAAAGGACTCTTGTTCTTTGCCAGCAGAGAGCATAAAGAAAGACTGTCAGACAAGCTAATCTCTCTCTGATAGTTTTCTCTCCAACATCATTGAACTGTCATTTCTCCCGGGCTTTGCCAGAACGTTTTGTTTCTCAAAACAGATGGATTTTTGCTAGCTTGGATGATACGGGAATTTTTGCCAGGAAGAGAGAGGCTGAGATGCCTTTTCCAACCTTTCGCTGCTGTCGCGTGGGTCCTTCGCTGAGCTCCAGATGAAAAGAAGGTGTCTTGGTGGCTGATTAGGTAGCACCCCTGAATGCAGCTGTGGAATCCTTCCCAGCACTTGCCCTGAGCTGGGAGCATATTTGCTGAGGTTTGGGGATTCTACTTTTTCTGGAGATACACCCCTTTATGCCCCCCGATGTTTAATTTCAAAACTAGTGATTCAAGATGGCCCTAGGCACCACTGCATCACCCGCTGCAGTCAGAAGGTCACCCAGACTAGAGATTCCCTTTTTTTTGATTGTCCCTCAGTGGAGCTGGCAAAGCATTTACTCCTTCTTGGCATGCCTGAAGAGTCAGAAAGATTCCTAAAACTATTCAGAGAAAAAAAAAACATCTGAGTGTCCCTTCCCAAGACTGAGGATGAAAGATGTCTACATTGAGCAACCTTATCCTTCAGCTGGGGACCCGGGGAGGAATTTGCCAGAGGGATACCTGGGCGATAAGGCTGCGTGTCCTCCACAAGCTCTTGCAGAGGAGTTGAGCAGAAATGAGATCCTGAAGTGGGGCAGAGGGGAGGAGCCCAAACACCACCATGACCTGGCAAAATGAGTCCTACACCCCATTTGTAGGGAGCTCTAACAGATTTTTTTTTCTAACTCTGCTTCATCCACCTCCTCCCTAAATTATCCTGGATGTCAATACCGTTGGAGAATTTGGGTTATTTATACCTTAGGTGTTTAATGTGTCTTTTTTTCCTGGATGTCAATATTGTTGGAGAATTTGGGTTATTTTTACCTTAGGTGTTTAATGTACCTTTTTTTCCCTTGGAAAAAAAGAAGTGGGTTTGGGCTCCTTGGGACAGCCAGCGGGTCTGTGCAGATGTGGAAGGGGCCGAAGAATGGTGGTCCCATTGCGTTGGGGTGGTTTGCTCTCTGCGTTGAGTGAAATCACACTGCATGAATTAGCCAACATCTGAGGGTTGTTTTTTTTTTCCTGGTGCAGGGCTGCCAACAGCGTGTCTCAGGCAGAGTTTTGGGGCTGATATTGTTTGTTAGGAGCATTTCGTGGTGGATTTCCAGAGGGATTTTCAGCCCACACCCCTGCCAGAGTGTGTGCACCAGGTTGCTCTCTTTGCCATCGCACCGGGACCACCTGCAAGGGGTGCCTTCTCTGGATGGAGTGATGCAAATTCCAGGGGGGGACCTCAGAAGCAAAATCCCACTGTTTTATACAGGTGGGGTTGAACCCAGCGTGGCCGCAGGCAGGATTTTGGAAGCTACCTGCCCCCCATGTCCTCTGCCAGCGTGACTTCAATACACACAGTTTGAAAAGTGTTCGGGGAGATCAGCGATCACCCGAGATAATACACTTGGTTCAAAATAACTCGCAACACCATTTAAATCCATGTGGGTTAATCTGGACGTATTGAAGAGCAGTTTCTGAGTCTGGAACTCCCTTGCTTGGCTGTGATTATTTTCTTTCATTTCCAGATTAACTGGAGATGTTAATCTAGACAGGGCGGCCGCTGAGATGTCAGAAATTGGAGCAGGAAACTTTGCAGTCAGTTTTACAACACAATTAACAGCTTGTCCTTTCAGAACCAATCCGTCCGCACCTTCTGTCCACACCTGCCCCACACCACCACCCTGGTCTGCAAGCACTTGGCCACTTGCACGTCTTGCCTACGTGAGGAGGTCCACGGGGCTAACTTCCATGAGGTAGAACTTGGCCAACTATCAATCTTCTGCAGGAGGAAGGCCACCCCATGCATACATATTCCTGCTCTGTACTTTGAGATTCTTTCCATCAAGCACTAGTGTCCTGTCATAGGATGTCTGGGGTTCTGGCTGTACAATTTTTTAGATACAAATTTCCTCTTGGTAGGAGCGCTGGTTTCCATAATTGATTGTCTTTTCACATCTGCAAGGTTCTTGCTTCCAGACAGGCTCCCAAGAAGGCCTCGAGGTTTGATCAGTGATGGTCTGGGCATCGCTGATGCCTGTGCTCCAAGGAGGTGTTCCTCTGTTACCGGTGTGCTGTGGGGATGGCTGATGGTGTAGATGCAAAGTTAACCAGGTGTCCTCTTTAAAGGCGACCTAGGATATTGTATTTGGGCAAAGAGGAATTTCCTGCATGATCTTTATAGACAGCTGTATTACATTTTATGATTTCTCTGGCATTTATGCAGAGTTACAGAAAGGCTTCACCTTTTCCCAGTATTCTGATTGCACATCCAGCCCCTCATTTTCTATAAACAGGATCTCAGTAGGACAGAAAAAAAAAAAAAAGGTATGGGCTGTACAAGCTTCATTCCTTTACATTCCCACCTGTCAACCTGCAGCTTTCCTAGATGTCTCCACGGAGCACCTACAGCAGGTTAAGCTGAGATGTGACATACCCAGTGTCAGGTAGAACGGGTGTGTGTACAGGAGCTGGGCAGCAAGGCTTCCTCAGAACTTGCTCCATCTCTTATTTTCTTCCGTAGCTCTTAGAAAAGGATCTTTCTGTTATCCCTGTCTGTGGAGAAAGAGTCTTGCTGTCTCACTTGTGCTGCTGTACCTACCTGAGATGCTTCTTCCCAAACCCTAGCCAGAGGTGGCTTCCTGTCTTTTACTTGCCTAAAGTTTGTCCCGTTCAGTTGTCCACAGAGTGTCGGTGGTTGTCTAACAAGCAACTAGGTTATGAAAAAGGCGTATATTAAAAAAGAAGGCCATGTTTGAAGTTGAAGAGAAAGAAAAAAAAATATTATTACAATGAGAAAAAGCGAACAGTTCCAGAGGATCAAGGCCACTGTTTATGAAGGGCATCTTAAATTAAACTAATAGCTGGATTAGTTGGTAAGAAATCATAGAATCGTTTTGGTTGGAAAAGACCCTTAAGATCATTGAGTCCAACCGT